GCTACCTCCCGGCGGGCCCCCCGTTTTTAAAGTAAAAGCAGGGCCGCAGGGACTTAATAGAGGCATCCCTGTGTCCCGAAAGCAACTTTCGGGACAAAACAATGTTCCCTCTAATTTTTTTTCCAGTGTGAGCAGAAAAGTATAGTGTTTGAGCGGCATATTTTCATGCCTGAGCACCTGAATTTTTTTTCACAGATGTCACCTAAGACAACAACGAAATCAGTGTTATTTGAAACTCAAAGTTATGTTTATTCAAGGTACCCGCTTAATTAAAAGTGTTATATAATATCAGTATCACTTAACAACACTCCTGCTTAGCAACCAAAATGTTGGCTCAGAAACTCTGGCATTGAAACACGCAAGTCTTAAAGCTGTCAGGTTTGAAGACCCCTGGTTTTTTTTTTCCTAAAGGGTTAGGGGGGCAAGGGTCTTGGAACTTGACAGCTTTAAGACTTGCGTGTTTCAATGCCAGAGTTTCTGAGCCAACATTTTGGTTGCTAAGCAGGAGTGTTGTTAAGTGATACTGATATTATATAACACTTTTAATTAAGCGGGTACCTTGAATAAACATAACTTTGAGTTTCAAATAACACTGATTTCGTTGTTGTCTTAGGTGACATCTGTGAAAAAAAATTCAGGTGCTCAGGCGTGAAAATATGCCGCTCAAACACTATACTTTTCTGCTCACACTGAAAAAAAAATTAGAGGGAACATTGCTCTGTGTCTTTAGCATTGACTCATCGGTTGTCTATTCACAAGTCTTTTGTGGTCTTAGGCCAGCTTTTGAGTGGCTGAGCCTTTCACCTCGTTGGTTTTAATCCTCTTGACCAGTTTGTCGTAGCACCTGAGGAAGGATCTATATCAAGAGCAATGTTTCTCAACCTTGGCCACTTGAAGATGTGTGGACTTCAACTCCCAGAATTCCTCAGCCAACCATGCTGGCTGGAAAATTCTGGGAGTCAAGTTCACACATCTTCAAGCAGCCAAGATTGAGAAGCCCTGGTTAGGAGCCTATGTGTCAGGATCAACTGGACTATAATGATCTGTGCTGACTAGGGTAAAGCCTCTTTAACACCTCTTCTAATAATCCGATCAAGCTGGTTTCCGTTGCCCCGCCCAGTTCCACAGGCAGCCTCCTGCTTACCCACAGCGGTCACTGTCATGCATGGCCAATGCTTTTCCCGCATGGGAGGCAGATGGACTCCATTCAGAACCTCCTTTTTGGATTTGGACACTTTAAAACTTGGACACAAGGCACAGCCTCATAGCTGCAAGGAACTCTTTTAATGGCCAAAATCAAGCCCTACATTGTCCCTTAGCGCAATGCTTATTCTTTACTCCAGGCTTCTGTTGGGAATCAAATCGGTTGGAAGCAACGTTCCTTCACAAAAGACACCGATTCCTTTTTGCTGCTCACTGCTTTGCAGAAAGGCAGGATGGGAGTGGGGTTGGTCTTTTCTTTGTCCCTTTTAATTCTTTCTGTTGTCATGTTCACAACTTAGTCTTAGCCAGGTATCCTCTATTGTATAATATCTTCTGGTCAATTTTCCAGTGGAACAAAAACCGTCCCAAGGTGGATTTTCTTTGCTTTCCCCACAGGGTCTCTCAAGAAACTGCATAGAAATGTTTAATAAAACTCAAAGAGAAGAATAGGTATTTCTCTCTCTCTCTCCCTCTCTCTCTCTCTCTCTCTCTCACACACACACACACACACACAAAATCAGCAAGGCCCATTGATTTTCCCCTGATCCTCTTAGTAGTTGAGGAAGATGATGTCCCTAGCCTGACACTAAGCTACCATATGTGGCTAGCAGCTTTGGCTCCTTGTTCTTATGATGGAATTCACACCATGTGCTAAATACAGGTTAGCAGCAACACAACTGGTCTGTTCTATATGTTGTAATATAATAAACCATATTATGGCTTCAGAGGAGGCTTTTGTTCACAGAGAATGCTGTGACACCGGCAAATTCCACAAGACTCTGGATCACAAATTGCAAAGCCTGCTTTAGCTAAATACT